AAGGCGCTAAATGTAATGCTCAAAATGAATTAATATACATGATTGCCGAGCTATAAATAAGTCATGCGAATAATTTGTTACTAATTGTAATATTAATATCTCCAGCTGTGATATCATATGAACAAACTTAACAATAATATATACTGCTGTGTCTTTACAAACCAGGCATGTGTCAACACAAACCCACTAATTGTGTGCATCTTTCTTGGCAACCTGGTTTCCTATCTGACGTTGCTATGACAGCATATTCCCTAAGAAACTAGCTGCATGTCCTAGCTGCTGTTAACTAGTGCCTGTTGCCTGTGACAATGCCCAAAATGAAAAAACTTATGGATTGTGTGTGTGTGTACCGGATCACATTCCAAATTCAAACATACATACAATGTACATGTATATGAGACATATGCACATCAATTTGTTTCACAATCCAATTAAAATGGCCAAATGGTGGCCATTTTTGTGCTTGAAATTCATCAAAATCAAGGATCTGTGCCATCTTGGCCATGTATACACTATAGGACATTATGGGATCTTGATGCATTTCATTTTGTTTTTTAAATCAGAATAAAAATAGATGACTGCTGCTATTTTGTTTTAATGAATGCTCTTCCAAAGCCACATCTCTGACATAGGCTGTTTGTTTGTGTTCAAACTATGTATATTTAATACCTCACAGGGACTATGTAATGCAATTACATGTTTACCTCTGATTAGTTTATTATAACTGAGCGCATGGTGTGTTATATGCTTACTTGTTGTGCCTTATTAGCATATGACTGGTAGTTCTGTCAAATTTCTCTTTTTTTTTTTGGTTCTCGAAATTGGTCATGTGATAAAAAGGTTATCATCTGATATCACTGATTTGAAGATCTCATTGATACCCATGGTGTCATGGTCTGTATTATCCACTCAACTTGAGTCTGTCAGTTCTATCAATCAGCTCTACAAACATATGATAACCTTGTAGTGTGTACCTATTGTTAGGCTTCAGATAGGAGTGCAAAAATAGACACAAATGGGATCTTACCTGATTTTCATCGAACATCAGCAATCAGTCTTTTTTTTCCCTCAAAATGTCTGATTTTTATTTAATGATTGTGAAAGTGTTTTCTGTTAAATTTACTATTTACATCACAAAAATAACAAATAAATAAAAATTGTTGCATCTCGAAATGTTAAAAGGTACCGGTAATTTTGAAACAAATGTAGGAAATAAAATAAGATCTGGGTTCAACAGAAAATATTTTATAAGTGTGAAATAAAATGTCATGGAAAAAATCACATAGTTTAGAAATTTTTTTTAGTGACATTGACTGAACATGTTGTATATTTTTTATTGATATGAAACCTAATATTACTGTTGCAAATTGTTGAAATTTTAACATATACCGGTAGTTTAGTTTCAGAGTGATAATATTTTTCTATTATATGCAAATTACACATCATGGTCATTAATGCAAAATGTATTTATGCCAGCAGTCTGAAATGGTCATGTCTAAAAATATATGTTAAACCAAGAGATATAAAAACATCAGATTTGACAGTATGCCCTCTATTAAAGCTGATATGACACTGATGTGAATATATTTGTTGTGACACAACTAGTGCTCCTTTCTTGGCACCTCATTAACGCAACAGAATATATTGTATCGATATAAAGTGATATATGAAAACAGAATTTGTAATTTAGTAAAATGAAAAATACATTTTGTAAACAAAATAAATATTACATGCAAGACGAAGGAAATGAGCAGCCACCCATTTTCTTTTCACCTCAAGTCACCTATACAACCATATACAGTCTTTATCTGGAAAACCCCTCTACACTGCAATCAGTAAGCATACCCAATAATTTTGAGGGTTCCTTTTTGACTTGAGATCCCTACAAAATCAGGTCTGTTAGAAGGCATGCTGATGTATAAAGCACATTACTGGGGCTTGTAGGTTGATAAACTAACCCAGATACAGTAGCCAAGTTATTGGCTTTGTTGTTATAACATCAACCGGACTGTCAGTTTAACAATTAAAATATTGAATACAATGTCAAAACCATTAGGCAGCATCAATTGTTAATGGATTGCTTCAAGATGGTGACCTACTTTCTAAAGGTCAAAATGTATAGTAGTCTTGTGTTTGTTATTACCTTTTAAATATTGTTTTAAATCAGAAATCTCATAATTATTTTTCGGATCGATGGATTCAAAATTATTAACTGACATTTACTGTATTAAATTCTATCTGATTTAGAGTAGCTTTCATTTACACCTTACTTGTAGGGTTACATTCAAAAGTATTGACTGATATTTACTGTATTAAATTCTATGTGATTTACAGTATCTTTCATTTACTCTTTCATTTTACACAGCGTTACACTCTCTTCAGTACCACAAATGTCATCCCAGCTACCTCCATACCTTACCCCTCTTATATCAGACTAAACTCGGATTCCAGCATTTGAATCATGAATCACAATTCAAGCAATCGAAAATATCTGCATTTCTTCATTTTATATGTAAATCAGTATTTTTTTTTATTTTAGCTCAAAATTCCTAGAATAAGTCGTGACAGCTTAATGTTAATAAAAACTAAAAATAAAACTCAGACAGCTGTACCCGCTCTCAATGCATGCTTAATAGTTTGTTAGGTGGATTTCCTCATCAATCATATACCTATCTACTGGGATTCCCTTACTGGCCTCAATGTCCAGATCATTGTTGTCATGTCGACTGGGTGACTAGCTTCACTGTATTTACCCCAGGCTGTAGAGTTTTACCAGCAATTATTTTTACATAAATCCCTGAGGGATTCTTGTATTGCATTGAATAAGGTGTCTACTTTTTCAGTGTATATTGAAGCTGATGAGTACAAACTTGGACTAATGAGGGCGCTGTTTTATTGACACCGTACATTGCTGTTGAGGATCACCAATCATTATAAAAGGGTTTATAATTATTGCTGTAATTCTTGTTGTCAAAACTTTAGTGCATTATTATCTGCAGCAAACTAAATTTTATACCAGAATTGGTCATTTTGAACAAAATGGCCATAATTTGGGAGAATTTTTGAACTAAATATGGAAAAATTGTACAGATTTGAACATCCCAGTTTTTCCATGTCAAAATTGGATTGCAACATTTTGCTTATTTTTCAGTAATTCCCTTCTAATTTCTCAGTTAATTTTAAACTGAAATCAACATAATTTCTCATTGGCCACAATTTTTTATTCAAATATTTGAAAAATGTCAAAACAATTATGAGGATCCAATTTGTATAAGATAACAGAAGTTGACTGTGGCACTTTATATACTTACTGAACTAGATCTAGTTAAATTTTTTTTTTATTCATTTCAAAATAGCTCATTTCCTGAATTTGATAAAATAAACTGTACTGTGCTGTAGATATTCATTCAATAAAATACTTTGAATATGAAGATTATTTTTAAAAATAGTAAATGATAGTTGTAGATATTTGTGTTTATACTGCTGAACTAATGTATCGGTGTCTTATCAAATACATAAATGAGTATTTAAAATAAAAAAAAAATTCTAATCAAAGACCATCATCACTGATAAACTCAAAGCATGATATTGTATCCATACCCCTTCTATCGTGTCAATTAAAACATCTGATTTTTTAGTTATTATGAGGGCTTGATATATAGTCTTGCTGCGGCATGCACGGTGTACTGCAATTGTGCAGTCAGTCAATTGTTTAATTGATTGATTATGGGATCAGAAAGCCTTCGTCAAGTGTGTCAACATTCGTATTCTTATCACACCAAGGGATTTGTCAGAAAAACAATCATTCATTCCACAGGAAAAAAAAGAGAGAAAAGAATTACACTAAAAAATGATTAAAAAAATCAGCATTCAGAAATAAAAGAAGAATGTAACGAATAAACATGTTTCCTGTTTGAAAGAATATTTACAGAGCCGTAGGCTTTATTAGCTCCGCTGTCGACTTTGTCGAGCGGAGCTTATCATATGAGTGATTGTCCGTCGTCGTCGTCGTCGTCCGTCGTCGTTCGTGTCAATGTTTTACTTTTTCGACTTCTTCTTGAAAACTACAAGCCTGAATGTTTTGATACTTGGTGTATATGTACCTTGGGTAGACCTCTCTCAGATTTGTTCATTTCATGATGATATCTTCAATTCTCTAA